CAGCAGCCTCCTGAACCGTCTTCCCATTTCCTTAGCCTGTAGGTTGCCGGGTTTTGAGTCACAATTTACTCTTTGTGCACGCACGGAAGAAGTTTGCCTTCTCATGGCCGTAGCCTGCCTGCCTCAAGCTGTCTTGCCAGACACAAACGGAAGGTAAGCAGACAGATGGGCTCACAGACGTCCTGGTTCTGGTGAGGATAGAGTTAATTTCACCAGGAGCCAGGACAGGTGAGCCAAGCTGGCCAGGGGCTATTCCATACCATGGGACATCATGCTCACCATAAAAGGGGCACAGTCGGGCAGGGGGCGGGTTTGGCATGGCTCCAGGATGGGCTGAGCGTCTGGTCAGTAAATTGTTCTCTGTTATCACCCATTGTTACTATCTGTTATCAGCACTGTCGTTGATTGTTTCCCTCTCCCTTGCTGTCCCAGTAACCTGTCCTTATCCCAACCCTTGAGGCTTTGCCGTTGTTTTTCCGTTCTCCTCCCCATCCCGCCGGGGGAGGGGTGAGCGAGCGGCACACGGTGCTCAGCTGGGGCACCACGTCAACAGATTAAACTTCAAAACCGGTTTGAAGATTTATCCCAGCAGATGAACTCAAGCCAGATGTAACCCTGAGGTAGGATTCGGCCCACAAGAGATGGCAGATGAAGTGCTGCCTTCGTCATTCACAGGATGTTGAGCACGGCTTGCACAGCTGGAATCGGAGAGCTAGCCAGAGCTGTAGCCCAGGCCAGAGGAGCACACCGAGCACGCAACCACCCAGCAGCACGGGCCACCTCTGCCCACCCAGCACCGTGGCCTCAGAATGGATTCACACTTCCAGTATCCGAACTGCAAGCACATCAGTGCTCATCAGTTCACAAACAAGACAAGGCAAGCTGCCGCTAAGCTGAAGGTTTGGCTGTATAACCACACGCAGGAAAGCAACGTCAGTCTAACTGCAAAAGGTAGCATTAAACCAATGGAGACATTTGAGTGCACGTTTATTTTTCTTTATACTGCCTGTGCTAGCACAGCAGTAGCTGAGAAAGTTCCCTCACATGTGAGCTGTTTTCTCTCACAGGATGAAGCTGTTCCAGACTGCGGCCCCGTCAGGATGTGTACCGACCACACCTCCTGGCTGCGCACAAAAGCTCAGACCACAGCTTGGTTCTAAGGAAAAGCAGAGATGAGCACATAACTGTGAAATCCAGAGTCATGTTTCATGTAAGCAAAGCAAGGGAGACAATATAAAAATTGGCAAAAAAATTACAGGTATTGTTTAGGCTATGACTTGATTCTCAGAAAAAAAATCTTCCATGAAAAATAGTAGTAGGAACAGACAGGTAGGACACCTTCCCCTGGGAGACAAGTGTGTTACGGAAACCTGCAGAGCCCAGTGCTCCCCTGCCGGAGCATTCATCCCGCAGTAAGGCCTTCACTTCCAGATGTTGTCCTGAGGAGGAAGCAGGCCCATCCACCGGATCTTCTCTCTTCATCTTTCACACATTTGCAAGAACAACATGCTCTTCTGCAGACGAAGCCTTGAGTCCCTGCTCCCAGCTGGCTCTTCAAAGGCTCTGGCTGCAGAGATTGAATCACCTTGCAGTGAAAGGCTGTGACAGAAAGCTGGTGTCACTACACCCTCCTCCCCTTCTCTTCCATTAAAACGTGACCCTGCTAGAAACAAACATGGCTGCAATGTGGGAACTGGTCAGAGGGAAACAAACAGCAGAGATGATGCTTAAAAATTTAAAGTAGCTGCTGCTGCTGTCACCGTGGCTGGACACCTTCTTCCCAGATGAGACCTGGAGGTGACACCCAGCCTGCCAGAGCCACTGCCCAGAGCGCCGGTATGCAGGAACGCGAAGAACCAGGGCTAATGCAGCCAGCTTTTGAGTCAAATTCTCATCTCTTCTTTATTTCCTGCATTCATGCCATGCACAGCTTGCAATGCTAACAGAACAGCACTTAGACCATCACCTTTTGTCAACAGCTTCTGGAGGCCATGCTGGAACAGAATTACGAACCCCAAGTCTCTTTGTTTTCAGATAGCATGCAAAAGCCCCAAACCCTGGCAGTGGTGTAACACATTCTAGCAAATACACAAGAACCATTGTGTAAAATTATAGATGGACAAGCACTGGTTAATTTACAGCAGGACCCAAAAAGTCCTGCTTTTACAGCTAAGTGAAACAGTGAGCCTCAACGTCTTCCACTGGCCTAGATATACAACCTAATCCAGATGGATTTACACAGCTCTGGAATGGACATGTACAAAACCTGAAAATTCACCATTTTTTTATGATTTAAAACCAGACACATAACATACTTTTTATTTAATAAAAGTTAAAAACAGGTACAAAAATGTGATTGCATTTCTTTAAAATATAAGCTCAAAATAAAGACTGAACAATACAGTTCAGGCAGTAAAGTGCAAAGAGAGCAGCTATCCCAGTCATGCTTAATCCATAAATAACCCTTACACAGCAGGAAGGAACAGAAAGCGCGAACGGAGCAGCAGCCGCACCGCGGCTCAGCTATTCATGCACATCCACAAGAGAAAGAGACGCACGACCTGGACACAAGTGGTGGTAGCACACACCTCGCCGGCGCAGGCTGCAAGGAATCGCAGGCCAGGTAAACCTAACAAAGATGAAGCCACTGCTTTACTGCATCGTGACACGCACTTTTTGAAATTCCATATTCTCCAGTACATCATTTTCCCCCCCAACGATGCAACAAACTAACATGACAGTTTACTAAATTATGACACGAGTTTACAAACTGTTTTGCTCAGGTGAACACCGTAAATGGTTAGTCTGTAAAAAAATAATAATGAAGTACTAAATTGGCTACTGGACTGAGACAGGACACTCTTCCCCCAGCAAAAACGGCATCCAAAAGTCAAACGTCTTGTTCTAAGGGACTTAAAAAAAAAAAAAAAGCAGCAATGTCTTTCTTCACCACGTGAATTCAGAAAACTGGGTATCGACACAGAACAGCAGCACTACAAGCATCCACTTTACTGGGGAGAGGGGTTTCAACCGAGCCCTTTGGAGAGCGCACAGCGAGGTTTGCATACGCACACGCACTCAGCAGCACGTACGCTGCAGTCGGTGGGATTACAGCGTGTGTCGAGTGAACAGGGTGCGGATGCTTTAAAGGTCAGGCACAAAAACTTTAGTACACTTAGCACAATAATTTAGTGCAGTTTGAAAACTTGTTACCGTTAATTACAACTATAGACTTAAGTGTAAATAATTATGATATATTCTGCTTTCAATTGAAACAGGTCTCTGCCAAACTCGGGGGAGCGCTAGCTGAGATCTGCAAGTCTGCACTTAGACTGAGGAGAACCGTGCTTTGTGCACACCAAGAAGCATGACCAGGACTTTAGAACAACAAAGCAGTACAAGAGAGAGTGCATTCCTAGTTATCCACATTTTACACATCCAGGAAAAAAAAGAGTCCTTCTCAGTGCTCAACTAAGCTTCAGTGCAGGAGTGGTTGAAGGGAGAAGAGTCTGGAAGGAATAAATGCTACAGAAATATTTCATCCAGCACGCGAGCTGTCTCCCAGCAAAACACCACCTGGTGCTTCATGGCACAACAGCTCTACTGTCAGCTCTGCTACAATACATAAGCACATCCTTCCGCACCACGGAAACCGAGCAGTCTGTGCTATGGGCAGTTCGGTTTATTACTCAAGACCACGCCATTACAACACAGCACTCCTGCAGCCAGTGATTCCACTTCTTAGCCATATTTACACTTGGTGTAAAAGAAAATCCATTAAACAGGGAGAGTATCTCATTTAATAGAAAAGGGTGATTTTATACAAAGTACTGTGGAGAAGTATAAGGCCACATGAAAAGCATCATCAGGTTGACATAGTGGCTATTTCTTAAGTCAAGACACAATTAGTACTTCCTCTGTTGCTTTGATACAAGTAAATGAAAGCCTTGAACAATTTCCTATAAGGTGCACAAGCATCCACGACACATAAAAAACCCCTTAATTTTCTATTTCTCCTGTACTCAACAAAAAATATAAACAGAAACCCAGCTAATTATTCATGGGTTATCTTGCCATTTTTGCATTTTTCTGTAGATTTTGATATGCTGGTTTAGTAGGACTGAAAGTAAAGCGTAATTTTTAGTGTCAAAGCTTCTAAACAGTGTTTGTGCTTCTACCTCCACCAGAGCAGTCTGGCTCCTCCAAACTTTGCTCCAGCGGAGTGCAGACTCTGGAATGCCCAGTATGTCAAACTTCAACCAAAAGTCACAACGGCTTCCACTTGCAAAGGGTATGAATTTATAAAATGTTGAGGATTTCAACGCTGCTTTTCTGGAAGAAAGTCATTCTGGTTTGGTTTGTTTTAAAAATGATGACACACTTAGTTCTCAAACCTCCAATGTCACCTGCGTAAGGAGGGTGTAACAGCACCAGCCCATTGCAGGATCAGGATCTGCAAGTGTGAAAATCCCAACCACTACGAGTTATCAAATGTTGTGTTTACAAAATGCTCTGAATGCAATTCTTTAGGTTTACTGAAAAGGAGTTTCCAAAACTGGGTCTCATCCTGCACCCCCCTACTAATGCAGGTCAAGTACTTTGCCTGCATATCAAGACCAAAATGAATAAATACAAAATATATTTGGTATAGAAAATACTAGTATAAAAATTAAAAATCACCCTGTTTTACTGTCCATCAGAATATTAACAGCAAGCATTACAAGTGACTTTTTTAACCTATTGCCAAAATAATTTCCAGAGAGTTCTGCTTTCCTGAAGTGCTGGTGATTGCATTTGCCCAAGTATTGAAAAAAAAAAAAACAAATAGGGGAGGGACAAGGAAAAATACGATAGATTTCTCACATAGCGTTGTTAACAGAGGACCTAAAGGAAACTAAAGTATGCACAAACACATGGAGAAAAAAAAAAAAAAGCCATTGTCAGTTTTGTTGTAGCCATCAGAGCTCTTCCTGATTTTCAGAAAGTTTGTAGAGGAGAAACTTTCTCTCACTAGCCCTGACAGACAGATGGTGGCATGGGGATGAGCATACTCAGAGCACCGCTGCTTTTCGGTTTCTCTGCTGTGGCAATTCTGTTGAGTTTGCCAACCTCTGTCTGCCAGCTGGGGATCTTCTTTGTGGTCATATGGCGGCGGGTGTGCTTCGTCAAGTGATCGCTGCGCATGAAGCGACGCTCACACACAGGACAAGCAAACTTCTTCTCTCCCGTGTGGGTTCTACGGTGGCGTGACAGTTCATCTGAGCGAGCAAACTTCTTGTCACAGCCTTCCCAGTTGCAGCTGAAAGGCTTTTCTCCTGCAGGACACAAAAGGAGCATAACTTACTTTTGAGAAGCTGTGTTACAGTTTTATCAAAGAACTAGCTGGAATCCTGCCTTGCAAAAACCCATGAATTCCACAGAACTCCTCATGTGTGCAGCCAGCATTAGCTTAAGCTCAAGTTGTGTTCCAGAGAAAAATCAGAGGTATTGATTCTACTTGTTCCCTCCTATCTCTTTAAATGTTCTTTAATCAAGTCTATTTTTTCAATTGTCCAAAACCCCAGTTTAAAGAAGAAGATTCTTCATAAAAATACCTTATCCGCTGACTGAACTAGGAGCAACCCCCTGCCCTGATCCCTGTGTGACCACAGCTCTACAGCTGCTGAATGTCATCAGCAAATACTGCAGGCAAAGAGGAAGCCTGGACTCGAGCCTCAGAGTCCCGCTGCTCCGGTGATCTAGTCCTAGACACAAACACACCACCCCAGCGGGTGCCACCGAGGACTGTCCTGTCCTGCCGTCCCCACGCAGCTGGGGGTCCAACAGACAGATAGGGGAGTTCTGCAAGCCCGGGAGTGACAGCAGTCGGGAAGGCTGTCCATGTCAGCTTCTGCTCATCCTGCTTAACATCAGACATACTCTGAACAACATGATCTACCACCTGCAAACCCCATAAGGCTCATGATAAACATCTACCACATGACCCAAATTTACGGTAACTGGAGCAGAACAGAAGTGTCCAGCAGAAAGGAAGCCCCATAAAGCGTGCTTATTTCAGATATTGAGAGTAAAGTTCTACGTTTGCTGTATGTGGTATCACTTAGCTACTCAGTGTGCAGGGAAAAGGTGGAAAAAGAAAGCTGAACTACTCTAGCCCCTGATCCTGTAACGTGGGCTGGCTAGTGAGGGGTCAGTGTGCTTCACCTCCCTAGAAGTCCTAGTCTCAATCATGATACATGGACACACACAGCTCCCTATGGATCAGCAGTAGCACGTGCTCAGACAGACACTTGTTGCTAGTCTGTGTTTATCCTGTAGTGCCAGGTTAATTAGGCAGCCCACAGCACTTACTCTCAAGCCAGAAGTAGAAGCATCATCTACCTCTGAGCTCTGGTTTACACGGATTATCAGTCTTTCCCTAAAGAAACTGCAAAGACAAGCTGTCAAACTAACTTAAATCCTGGCACGGAAACTGACATCCAATAAATCACAGTGTCTGTGGGGCAAGAGAGGGTGGGGGGAAAAAAGCCAAAGGAAAACAAAATTAGACAAACTTCTGAATGAGCTATTCTGTACCGATCTCCCACTATGCCTATCCCTCAACATCAAAAATAGTCCCCAAGAACTCAGTTAGTTTTAACCTAACAGGACCTTGGAGCCAGAAAAAGGATAAGTAAAACATATGCATACTGTATCCACACTGACCAGCTTTTATGGAGCAAATTAGCGCTTATAATTACCATTAATTTTCATTTACCTTAAAATTCCCTTTCTGTAACTGAATAAACTGCTACATTCCTGTAGCAGGTCTACTTCCTAACACAGGAGCCCAAAATCTCAATGTATTCCCACTTAGCCTAGACAAAACTCTGGAAAAAGTGTGCAGTTTCTGACTTTCTTTTCTTTTATTCGTGTGACAATTAAGACCAACTACATATACTATCGTTTGCTTACACCAGACCTCTCCATGCCCCCAAAAAACAGACTTGCACAATTCATTTCAATCTAGTCCAGATGGCAGGATTCCACTCAAATCTAAACACACACACGGCAAAGCTTTGCTCCAACTAAAGCATGTGAAAGTCAACTAACACTATGGGGTCAGCTGAGGTCTCAGAACAAAGTCTGTCTTGTTTTGCTTGCCCACAGAGAACGAACATTCCTCCCTTCTCCAAGATGAAGGGAAGTTACCCGATCACCCCTCTTCCCTTCCTCCCCCCGCCACTCCAAAACCCACAAATTTCAGCACCCCAACACAAGCCAGTGCTGGACCAACAAAGGACTCGCCCTGTTGTACACACCAGTGTGGGTGCGAAGGTGGGCTTTGAGGTGGGAACTTTTGAAATAGGTTTTCTTGCACCCAGGGAAGTTGCAAACATAATTCCTCCGTCTAGAAAAGTCCATCTGGGGGGTGCAGCTTTGACCAGAAGCGATGAACACAGGAGCAGGAGCAAGAGGCAGTAACTTGGTGTTCCCAACAGTCATTACTGTTTGCGGGCACTGTGGTGTCTGTGTGACAGCAGTCTGTGGAAGAACCAACATGACGGTCCCCTGAGGCACAGAAGGCCCCATGAGTACAGGCTGAGAGAGCGGGGCTGTCTGCGGTAAAATAGGTTTCATGGGAGTTGAGACTGTTGGAGTTGAAGGCTTGACATAGGCATTGATCATACTGCTTTGTCCATTTAAAGGGATCATTTGACAGAGAACTTGGGGGCTTGAAACGGGGGCAGGTGTCACTGGGGTAGCTCTTTTTTGCAAGTCATTCTCACAATTCTTTGGTAAGTGGGTCTGTGGCGAAACAGGCCGGACCGGTAGTTGTCCTTTATTGGTCACAATATCACTGGAGTCATGTGCATAAGGTTGATGTACTGGAGAGGTTTTGCTAATTAAATCATCTGCAGCACACGTGTCCTGTGGCAGTCTGGAATGTCTTCGGTCATCTGTTCCACACCAGTCTCTGGAAGTGCTGTAGCCTGAAGTTACCTTTGTTTTCTCTTGCACAGCAGGTATGTGATGGCAAGCAGAACTGTCACCTGTGTGACGTATCACGCTTGTTGCCATGGCCCTGCAAGGCGGAGGGGCAAAGGATTCAGATATCACTGGCTTCTGGCTGCACTGTCGCTCCATGTTGATAACAGATGGCTTAGTTATGGGAGAGGCACCGGTCGCTGATGTGACTGAGCAGGCAGCTGTATTTGCCATGACAGTCCTTGGTTTGGAGTAAGTGACTTGTGAGGAGAGGAGCATAGCAGCTGATATCTCAACAAAGTCAGGGCTGTGTGGAGGGGTCATGCACTGCAAAGAAGACGACACCATTATACAGCAGTGTAATTTCATAGCACAATTTTTCACTATCTTTACTGTGAAAAATAAAATTACATCCCCTTCCCAGAACCTCAGAACCAGCCTCTTGGGACAAACCAATTAAAGCATACATTGTCTCATCTGATGACCATTCTGAATATGCTCAAAAGCATAAAAGGAAGGCAGTGAGACAGATGTAAACCTGCATAAAACACTGCATGTCTACTCACCGCGCTACAAAACACTCTCTCATTCCTTTCTCCTCAGCAATGGGTGCAGCTGTAAGAGGCTATGAGCGCTCTGCTGCTCACAGAAAACAGACTAGCAACAGATAGCGATACTGTACCATTTCAATTTCAAGCTTCCAGCAAGCCCTAGATATTTTATCAATGATTACCCCATCAGCTGGTGACTACTTCTGAGATAAAGACAAATGGAACTGCTCTCTCTCTTCTTATTCACCCACTTCTCCCTATGCTCTCTTGCTGCCACTGGCTCTCCTTTACCACCGAAACCTCACACCTACCTCCTGTGCTGTGCAAGAGATAGTGCCATCTCTGAGTGGCAGGAGTATAAGAAGTCTGTCAACTAGCTGCCATACTCTCTCAGCCTCTTCCCTCTTTTATTCCTCTTTTTCCTGACAGAACTGCATACTAGAAGCCTGCTTGTTGAAATGGGCCTTCAATGTCTGAAACATGAACGGCACCAAGCCCTTTTTTAATACCTACTTTTGTTGCAACATAAATTGCAAAAAAAAAAAAAAAAAAATTGTGATTCAACTGACATTAGTCAGCCGGAGTAGACCAATGCTCTGGAGAAATAACAGGCTACATGTACAAACACATAGCATAGAAACTAATTAAATTGTCTATTTCATAATGGTAACCTGTACTTTCTCTTACAATGACCAGAGTGAAGCCAAATGTCATCAAGAGCCTTTCTCATATAGTGCCTGCAGATAAGTCGGTGCCAAATCAATGAGGCTCACTCTGCCATTCTTATTCAAAGTGCTCCAAGACACCTACAACCACCATCCAGACAGCACCCTCAGCACACCTCTCAAATGAAATAACCTGTCAGCAAGGGCTTTCACGTCTCGATTTAACAAGGGATCAAATCCCTACATTTGCCATGCCACAGACAGCAGAAGAAAACAAACTCAACATGCCCACCTCACTATTCTATGTACACACACAGCACTGGCTGTACTGTAGCTATTCCACACAGGGACACCAGAGCAAGCTGTCTTTTCCAGCCAAGTTACAACATTGCAGAGGTTTAACACCCAGATGTCAGGCATATTTATTTTGCGTTCATGTTTTTCTTACCAGTGTAGATAAATAGTCCTTTGGTAATTCAGACGTAGCCTCAGCATGCATTGTGAAATCACCAGAATCCGAGAAGGGCGTAAGTGGCCTTATCTTTAATATGTCACCTTTCTGTGATCTTTGACCCCAGGAGCTCATACAAACAAGCGCTTCAACAGCTTCAATGTCGTTCTGCTCCAAGGTGCTGCAGGTAGACCTTTCGCTGTCATGACGCTGCCTTTCACGGATAGACTCATAGATGTCCACAATGTCAACCTACATGTAATCGGATTACTGGCTATTAGGACAAGTCAGAATACAAAGCCGACACCACTCACATACTGTCTGCTCCCGATGAAGGTCATCTGAAACAGATCCCGTGCCCGCGGCAAGACTTTTACCAACCAGCTCAACTCTTACCCTCCCCCACCAGCTCATCTCCCCACCCCTGTGTTACTCTTTAAAAAAAAAAAAAAAAAGAGAGAGAGAGAGAAGTGCAATTTGCGGGAAAGGAACAGATATGCCTGTAGCTCACATTTCCAGAGTTACTTTCCTGGATTACACTGCTCTGAATAAACACATCCCATGCTTGCATGCAAGCAAAGAGATGGAAAAAAAAATCCTGACTTCCAACCTCATTTAGACAAGGCTGTTTCCTAGACCTAGAAAAGTCAACTGCTATTCAGCACTAATCTCATTCTGGTAACATTTAGAAGATAAATTTCAGCTGACAGTAAGATGCTTTAAGGTATGAACACTGATTCACAGTGCCACACCTTGCAAAAGCATTTTAATCTTATTTTTACCGATAGGGAAGCCAGGGTAGTTGGAAGGAAGGAAGGAAAACAGTCTTCGAAGTGCAGCAGGAATTGTTTATATTGTACTTTAGAAAGGTATTCTACTACATAGGCACTTGGTATCCCAAAATGCACTCTAAGTAACAGGAAGACAAATGTAAACATACTGCTTCCAAATACAAGCATCACAGAAAATTTGTTTGTGTGTCTGCATGCATGGAAAACATTTGACTTGTCTGTGAAAGGATACCCAAACAAATTTCATAAAGCTCTCTCAGTGCTCCAAAAACGACTCCAAAAGCTGCGATGCGCTGTTGGTTTATCGCTCATGTGCTAGCTCAGTCTCAACTAAGCATTCAAGCTGTTCCAGTCTTTAGGCTGAGATCCAGCACAGACCAAGATTCTTGAGTCTAACACTGTCACACAGTGCACTTACATACTGCAGCAAAAGGGTTTTACCTAAAAAAGCACCACTACACCTAGAGGGATCTATACTTGTTGGGTAACATCACTTACACCTAAGTCAATGAGTTTTGTTACTAAGTGGAATGATCCTGGCTCAGCAGTGTCACAAAGATACAAAGCTATGATACACTGTCTCCGCTATAGGGACATGCATGGCAAACACGTTAAACATAATGATTCCGGAATGCCTGTACTGCACTCACGGAGGACTTTTGCCTAAAACAAGAGGTACCACACATGGAGATATCAAGGCTGAGGGCAGGAAGGGGTTAAAGCACTCTAAAGCTATTAATTGCTCTGAGAGAGACTTCTAAGAATTTCCACTGAAAGCAATGAGACAGGAATGACGGCAAAAAATGATGTCGCCTGCAAGCCTGGCCCTAGCCCGCCTGTCAAACAGGAGCCACATCAGGTGAGGCTCTGCGCTAAGCAGCCAGAAACCCTGCGAGTGTTCCTCAAAGCGTGATTGCAGGCAATCAAGCCAGTAGTTTTATTTTTCCAACTCTGCGTTTCAGGAGAGCAGTTTTCCCTAAAGAAACATTAAAAGAAAAATTCCTTGCTTCAAAAAAAAAAAA